TATTATTCTAGTTCATACACCTATTCGAAGCACAAAACTATTTATTTTATATAAAAATATGCTATGTATCCAGTATCTATTAACTCTGAGAGTTGCTGGCACCAATTTAAGAACAGTGCTATAGGGCAACACCATCTGTTTGCTCTATTCACTTCTCCTATTCGCCTACATTTTCTACATTCTCCTGGCAAATACTAAAAGCACAGAAGAGCTGTTCCATATCCAAAACTCTAAAGTGAGATATTCACATTTGCAGCATTTGCTCTTGATAATTCTAATTCAGCACTATTAAAAGGATAGTGATGTTGTTTTGTAGAGTCCTCATATTATGTTTGAATCATTAATTCTTTTAGGCTGCGTATTAGCCTGTGTATCCCATTTAATGAAAAATGCATTTCCTATGAATCCAAGCAGCTGCTTCACTACATATAAGCATTTGGTCAAATTTGTATTAAAAATCAACCTTGCAATAAACGTAACTGTTCTTGTAGTCACTTTTAACCACCATTAATGAAGAAGGTAGTTAAACATTAAACACCCCCCTTTACTTTGGTGCTCTTTTAAAATTTGTCATGAAAAGAGTCCAACTCTACAGCTGACTACATTGTTCTGGCATTACAAAACAGATATTTTAAGATGAAAGGCATTGTTCTCTCCATGAACGTTACAGTGCCTGTCAGTGCCAAGGCTGGCAAATATGGACCCATGAGCAGATTTTCTTAAAAGCCACAAAGATTCTGCCTGTTTCTTCAAATTTATCAAATGCCTTGTACCAAATGCTCTGTGGATCCGAATTCTACTTGTCAGATGCACCTGATAAAGCAGGCCCAAGAATGCTTATAACACAACAAATGCCTTGGTCTCTTGTGCCATTATCTTGAAACTATTCAGTTGTCAGAAAATTAATAACAGACCACGTTAAATGAACATTTAGAAATGTGCCAGTTGTATATTTTCACACTGCCTAACATTCTCAACTAGTCAAGGTGGTCAAGGAGTGGCTGAGCTGACACTATGCCAAATGGCAGTGTGTAAAATCCAAACCCTTCCTAGCCTAGTGATACTGGAAATGGCAAAGGACTACCCAAACCCTGACTGGCAGAGTACATGTGGATGTTGGCTTAGAGGGGTTTGGATCTGGCATAACTTAGCTCTTCCCCTCACTTCTTCCTTTCTTCACTCCTCTTTGGACTTTTCTGACTGATCTCATCCATCAGCCAGCACCAGGGTATGTGTGTGTGTCTCTGTGTGCACCAGCCCAAGAACAGCTGTGCCAATACAAGAGGCTACTGTCCATTCTAAACCTACTACAACTGATATATCTTTGAGTTTGGCTTGCACTGTTACAACAGGAATGAAATGATTGAAGGAGTAAATGAACTTCTGGCTCTTGGCTTTAAACAGTCTTTAGCTTTCTCTTCTTTTTGACAGAAGCTATGAATTCAAATGACAAATGATTCTTCATAAACATGATGGAACACTCCAATTCTGATTGAATGGCTCAACAATCAATCAATAAAGTAACTACTGTAACTTCTTTAATGGTGCCATTAACACATCTTCTCAAAGAGCACAGCACTTCATAGATCGTAATGCACCAACTGGTTGGACTATATTTCAATAACATTTTTTCTTACGAAACAGAACACAGCTCTGATTTCAACATAGCCCCTGAGAAGAGATATGAAAACAAAGTTCAAAACAAGCCATTTCCTGCCAAATAAGAGCATTTCCCTAGCCTAGGTCATGTTTAAGTCTTGGGGTGGGGGGAGATTAAGGCAGTTCTTTATAGCATGTGAAACAGAAATCCAGAACAACTAACATTGAAATCAGTTTTCTTGGTGCAATCAGAACAATGCATGCTGTGCAACAATATGCTGGGGGGGACAAGTGTTGAAAGGGATGGGTGGGGTCAGAGTGATAAGGGTTTTGTAGTTGTTGTTGCAAACTTGTGCTAGTCTTCCTCCTCTTTCATCAGGTGGGCTGCATCCTCAGCTGTCCCAGCAATCCGGGCTAGGGTTGGCCTGCTCTTGCACTTTCAATAGCCGCTGAATGACAAAAATCCAAATGCAAAGCCTTTCACAATATAGAGATAGTAGAATTTCCTAAGCTGTTGATTTCTTCTTCCTTTAAAAACAGGGTAACAAATCTCCTTCCCTTATCTCCAAGAGGGGAAAAGATTTTATATGGGATCTGCTTTCATCTTCACTCACCATTAGGAGCTTTCAAAATGAGTATCAAGCTGTGTGTAGCCTATATAATTTTTAAATATTGTAAACTGCCCAGAGAGTGCTATAAGCACTACTGGGTGGTATCTAAGCAGCACACTTTGCTTCCCCCCTCCCAGAGTATTTGTTGGTTGCATTCTTTTCCCTCTGGTCATCCTATTAGCTACTGATTATAATTATAATTTGCTTGTGTTAATTAGTGTTATTTTTAACCTATTGTTTTATCAGACAGGCAGTACAGTGATTGGAAATATGAGAATAAATCCAAGGAGATCTGGATTCAAAATCTCTCTAGTCCATTAAGCTTAGTAGAGTAACTTGGACAGTCACTATCTGTAGTAACCTAGTCTAGCTTATTGAGACAAAAGGAACTTGGAAACCTTGTAAAGCAGCTTGGATTCAGTGAAGAAAAACTGGGTTTAGAATATAACAAACAAACTAGCAAATATGAATAGCCTTGAACACCATTAAGACTGGAAAAACAGCATGCAAATCAGGACCATCTGCAAATTTCTGCCACACCTGTTCAACCCCTAATTAATTTAATTCAAATAAAATTTCTTTCAAAAATGGAATCAATTTTTTAAAACTTCTCCTTGGTGAGGGTCAGGAAGCTTGTGCTTAACTTCCTTACTCCTCACTCAGGGGTATGTATGAATAAGCTATCTCCCATTGTACAGTCAGCATTGTGGCAGTAGTCTCCCTATTCCAGGGAAAGACATCATAAGATGATTCCTCTCACAGATCTTTTTTCAGATCAGGAATGGGGACAGTCAAGGAAGCTGCATTGTGAGAGAGAGAGGGCTAAAAAACACAAACAAATATTACACCCTCAAATAATCTGCAGTAATACAGCTCAAAATCGTCACCAAACAAATTTGTCCTCATTTCCAAGAATAAGGCAGAAAAATAAAAGTCTCTTCCATGGGCAAACAATTCTTTTGCAAAGTTGAGCTCAAATTCTGACAGAGAACTAGCTCCTTGGGTGGTCTAAGCTCTCTTGCTGCCTAAGGCAGGAAATGAAGTAACTGCCCATTGCATGGAGACCACAACTCCTGCTGACCTATTTGCATGCAGCAGCACTCATACTACACTTCTAGCAAAGGGAAACAGGATAATATACCCCCTAAGCAGCAAACATACATAGAAACATAGAAGGTATCTGTGGAGAAAGTGCAGCACTAAGAGCAGCAACAGGAGTAATGGTAGTAAGGACTATCTTCAGATGATGGCACACTACGTAGCACCAGACCAATGGTGACAATGAGAAGTAGCAGCAGCAGCCACTGCCCCAGGCCATTGTCCAAGGTAGGTTCTAGAAGTATGGTGACAATGAGAAGTAGCAGCAGCAGCAGCCACTGCCCCAGGGCATTGTCCAAGGTAGGTTCTAGAAGAGACCAAGCACTGTTGAGCCCAGTAGCAAGAGCCTTCTTGGGCACCAGCATGGTTATTGCTTCACAGCTTCCAGTGTTCCTCCTCCTAAGATCACCAGCCTCACCAGCTCTGCTAACTTCACATCAATTCTGGAGCTGAACACAAAACTTTTTCTCTATCATACATACTACAGGGTTCACAAGGAAGGAGCTGTATTGCAAGCATCTTCTGCAGCAGAGACAAAATACATGTATAGTGGCATCTCCAAAACATAACCTTTGAGACATCCTGGACAAGTGGTTACCAATCTGAGTAACCAAGGTGCTCTTGGATTGCAATTCCCAGAAACCTTTACCTCTAACTGTGCTGGCCAGGGTTCCCGGGCGTTGCAGTCCAAGAACACCTGAGTTACCCAAGATCTGGAATCACTACCCTGGAGGAACTCTCTGAAAAAAAATGTCAAACAGCACTGAAAGAAATGTTTAAAGACTTCTCTTCCACCCCCAAAGGAAAGCTAAGATTTTTCCATCATTTTTGCTGGGGTTGCTTTCTCCCTCTTTGCATTAACACAGTACTGTACCCCAAAATGACACTAGTTAGAGGACACTGTAGAGAATGCAAAATGGTAGCCTGATGCCCAACCCAACTGTCATCCAAACGTAAAGCTCTCTGTGGAAAGGAAAACGTAATGCCAGGATCACTAATGGCCAGCTTCATCTCTGTCGGAGAATTAACCCTTCTCCTTCCGTGAAATGGTGAACCCATCCCCCTTTCTCTCCTCACAAACAGGGTGGAGAATTCTGAGAGCCCATTTGCAGGCAAATATAAATGAACACATTATCAATAAAGGCGCAAAACTACACCAGCGGAATTCCCCGCCACAGTCAGCCCAGGAGGCCGCTCTGAGAGGGCTAGAGAGACGGCGCTCGTTCGGAAAGTTGACCACTTTCGCCTCCACCAGAGGAAAGGCCAGGCGGCCCCCTCGGCCAGAACCTTCCTGCCAACCGCTTAGCAGGCTGGGAGCCTCTCTTCCCACGAACCTGCCCCGCAGCCGTTGCTCGCAAGGCCGGAACTTGTCCTGACCCTGCAGCCTCAACCCGGGCCGGGAGGACAGAGCGTGGGAACGAGGCAGAGGGAGTCCGAGACGCGCGCGCCAACCGCCTGAGGCAATGGTGGGGGGGAGGGGAAGGAGGTGGGGCGCTCGGGGCTCCTCGGGGGCGCGGCGGCGGCGGCGGCTACTCCAGACCGGGAGCCCTTCGCTGGAAGCAGAAAAGGCGCAAGAACTGGGGGGGGGGCGAAGGGGGGCGGTAAGAAGAGAAAGCGAGGCGCTTCTATTCTCTGGGGAGGCGGCGGCGGGCACGCGCGCGGGGAGGCAGGGGGAGGGAACGTCCGACTTACTCGAGAGTCACTCACGGCTGAAATTCTAACAGCCAAGGCAGAGCTGAGGCGGCCGCCTGCCTAACAAACGTCGTCCCGTTCGGGTTTCTCTTTGGGAAAGCTCGTTCAAACCAAACCACCGGGCAGAAAGGCGCGCAGAGGGACGCTCACTTGGCTTCTCGGAAGGCAATGGGGAGGTTTGTAACAGCCCCTTCCACCCCGCCGCCCGCCCGCCCTCCCGCCTTCAGGGAGGACATGCCCAATGGAAAGGGATTCCTGAAGCGAACCTCTTGCCCAGAAGCTGGGGCGAAACCACAGACGGTTAAAAGGGGGTGGGGACCCCACTGGTAAAGCCGCCAGATTCGGCTGGGCCGAAATGTCACTTCGGCCTGGGATGAAGGGTCGGTGGATGGGTGGGAGGCCCTGGTGGCCCTTCCGCGCTGGCCACCCGGGGCCCCTCCCACTCCTTCTAGCGCTGTCCAGGGTCCCCGTTTGCCCCTGGCGGCAAGAAGAGCCGCGGGCGCTTTCCCGTCTAGCGTCGCATCCGCAGTTGTCTCCTCAAAGCCATCCTAACGCGCGGCGTAGTCGCCGCCAGGGGCAGAAGCATCCCCAGACAAAGCAAGCCGCCCGCCCGCCCAACTCGTCCCCAATTCCGCCGCCGACTCCGTGTGGAGTTCGCTTCCACTCACCGCGACGCGCTTTCCCTTCTCGCTTCGTCGGCTGGCGGCGCCCCGTCGCAGTACAAGTCTTCGGTGTA